GCTCATGTATGATCATGAGTCACCCACTCGGGTAACTGATATTTGTTTATTTTTAGGCAGACGACGAGGCACCCAGACGCCACGGCAATGGGTTCCAGATCAGTACTTTAAATGTATGAAATATATGGGTGATTTGGACCTTGCAGTTGAGAGGAGCGTCTGCTTGCTCACAACCGCTCCTATTGTAGATGATGAGGTCAGGCTCATCACATGAAGACAAATTCCTTATCCTAAGTATAGTTAAGGCTCATTCCTGAAATATATATAAAGCATTATTTTGGGATGGATCTGTGTGTGCTCTTGCAGCACTTGATTGGCCCTGTATTCATGAGTCAAAAAGTTGGTCCTTATCATTGTAAGAGTATAAATATGTATGGCATTACATTAATGGTTCTAAATTTGTGTTATGTCTTTGTCCTTTACTCTTGAAGTGTGGTGCTGCTGAGTCCATGAAAGCAAGAGAGGTTGGCAAAAGGGGGGCTCAGAAGGCTCGGTGGGATTTGGGAATGGGTTTTGGGGTCTTTGGGATTGTTGAAACAAGTTCCCTGACTTTGTGGGTGATCGCCCCATACAATCCCTTTAATGAGTGCATCACGCTCCATTTCACACCGAATTCAGCTTCTGCCCCTTGCTGCTCCAGAACCACACCTCTCATTTCCCCCTTAAATGTATTCACGGCCACTTCAGACCCATTTGTTCTTGTACCAGTGCTGACTCTGCTTCAGCAGCTTTTGTTAGAGGGCATGTTCCAATTTGTTTCATCGGGAGCAGGAGAAAAATTGTTCTTGTCCACATTTTTGTATGGGGAATTTGGAAACTGAAGGGAGGCTTTGTCTAAATGGGAGTCAGCGCCTCCCCCTCAAACTGACTAGAGTAATTTTCTTTGTTTTTCCTTCCTTTCATCATTTTTTGCATCCTCAGTCCTTTCCTCTGTGTCACCTTTCTCCCACTGGTCTCTGGCCTTGTTTCCCTTGGCATCAAGCACATGTATTCTCTGTCACTTCTGCCCCCATTTGTCTCCACCATCGCTTTGATGCCCAGGCCTCCTGGAGACCATCTCCTTCACCCCTCTCAGCTCAGGTCAGGCTCCCTTTCCTCCTGGCCAAGCTCTGCTCCATCCAGGGCCAGGCCCAGCTTTACAGAGGTGCCTGAGGCCTTCTACTGCGGGTAGTCTTCAACCCTCAACAGGGGCAAGATGTCACCCAGAGCATCTCTTCTCCATTTCAATGGAAATATTGAGCTCTCAGCCCTTGAGCCCTTACTTGTTCCTCCTTTCAGGGTCTACCCGGCGCTGTTGTGGTGCCTCTCTCAAGGGAGGCCTCACGCTGCTGCGGGTGGGCAACAAGGAGCATGTGGGAGAGAGGGCTGAGGGACATACCCTGGGATAAGGCAGGGGCTTCCATTGCTTGTTATTTGCTTGTTGTGCCAGGGGAGGCTTAGGTTGGATATTAGGAAGAACTTTTTTACTGAGAGGGTTGTTAGGCATTGGAATGGGCTGCCCAGGGAAGTGGTGGAGTCACCATCCCTGGAGGTCTTTAAAAGACGTTTAGATGTTGAACTTAGTGATATGGTTTAGTGGAGGGCTGGTTAGTGTTAGGTCAGAGGTTGGACTGGGGGATCTTGGAGGGCTCTTCCAACCTAGATGATTCTGTGATTCTGTGATTTTATTTTTTTTGGGGGGAAGAGAGGGGTCGGGGGCAAGTATAAGGTAGGGAGACATAAATGTCACCAATTCCCTTGCAGAAGTGGCTTTGGGCTGTGGAGAATGATGGGAGGAGAGACAGCCGTTGTTAAATACAGTCCTGGTAGCTTGGTCGTATTTCTGGATGTCTTGCGTCCCATATATTTAATTTAGCTGTGACTGTGAAATACACAACACTATTTAAACCATGTAAATAAATCATTTATTTATTCTTACTCTGTGGCCTAGTACATAGAAAGAAAATGTACTGGGAGTAAAGTATCTTTTTGGAAAAGTGACATTTTTGTAAGAATGCATTAAGCAGAAACTTGATTTAATTCAGAATTCCCCTTTTGTGGATTTAGGTCTTAATATTTTAATTTTAATGTTGTGGTGTTTGGGTTTCTTTTCAGTGTATTTTGTGTAAGCCATCATTTAATGGGCATTGACTTTATCTCATCACTACAAAGCTGATTTCTGCGTTTTCTCATATTTGTTTTAGCATTGCAATTACAGAATCAGTCTTTCTGTCAGTTTCCAGACCAAAACCCCCATGTTTTCATTTTCCAGAGATGTAATCTTTTAAGATTTTCTTTGAAATTCTTTTGCTGAATGCATTTCATATTTGGTCACTTCTGCAATGAAATATTTATGAGCTTTCATTATAATAGTTTCCAGTGCAATAGTGCTGCAGCACGAGTCCCATGATTCTGGCAAATGCAGTGAGGTTTTTGCATGGACTCTTTCTATATATTGTGGTTTGGGAGGATCTGGCAAACAATTTTTGACAAATAAGGTGAAATTAAGGATGGACCCCTTGTGCATTGGCTCCAGATTTTAATGAGTTTGGCCTCTGAGACAACTTCTCACAGCAGTTTCATCCCAAGTGGTGCTGGCGGGGAGGGGACAGCATTTAGGAGGTTTAGTACTGGGTGATCAGAAAGGGATTTTCTGCAAGCCATGGAGGCCTGGCAACAGCAGCGTGATGGGGGAAGTTTTTCTGCATGCCTTCTGGCACTTGGCTCAAGCCAATAGCACAGATCTCTCGCTATTGCAAACATTCAATTAAATCACCACTGTATTTAATAAACAATTTAAAAATATCAGTTGCAGCAAAACAAACATGGAGATGACAGAATCAGTTTTGTTTTTAGAGGTGGCGGGGAACAGAATGTCCTTTTCTTGGAAATGCTACGCTTCCAAGAGGAAAGCTGCTCTTTCGCAGCATGCGCGTCTCGGCGTCTCGAGATGTTGTTTCCAAAATCTCAGAGAGCCCTGTACCATTGAAAACTGTGTGCCAATGTTTGTAGGAGCATGTGCTGCCCAGCTCTCCCTGGGATTTTGGTTCCGTCTCTCGTCCAAATAAAAATCAGTCTTGCAAGTCTTGCATACGAGGGCTAACAAGATTTGGTAAGAACCTAGGAAATAAGTAATTATAAAGAAAAAAAAAAAGTGTTTTTCCAACTTCAAAGTTGCTGTCCATTTTGGGAAAAAAAAAAAAAAAAAAAAAAAAAAAGGCCTGGAAGTTGTCTTTAAATCTGTTATTTTAAACTGACCATTAAGAAGGACGTCGCCATGCCTTCCACCCAGACAGCTGCAGCCAAGGGCTGGATTTGGCTGGCTGATGTGTGAGAAAGGGAGACCGGCCTCCCATTGCTGGTCTCAGGTTGTGCTGAGGTTTGGCTTGTTTGAAAACATACCAACAGCCTCTTATTTAATAAGTGACTGAACCTCAGTTCAATATCCAGAACACCCTGAATACACCGTGTTAGCAAATCATTTCTCCAAAGTAACCTCCCAAAATTAAGCTGGAGACAAATCTTACTTTGTGTTGGTGTCCCAACATACATGAAGTTCTCAAAGAATTGCCTGATTTTTGTTCTATTCAGGTAAATATGCATTTCTTGAAGGCTTCCTCGTGGATTGTCCTGTTGCCCCTGTTTCATGATCACCCATCAGGTGTTGAGGAGCCGCAGCGGTGCTGTCTGTCCTCACTTGTTGGTGTGCTGGTAGAGGTGCTGGTGCAAGGAGAGACGCTTACAGCGGTGATCCTGAGGGGCTCATCACTATGTATCATGGGTGCAGCCGTTCTGGAAAGCTGCCTTAACTTGTGCGGGTGCTGTATTCCCAACGGGTGTTACGGCAGCAGAGATTACTGGATGCCTCGCTGGATTGGTTTTTGCTCCTTTGTCCCTTCTACACCTGGGCCTAGCAGCTCTCTTTGAGGTACAGATTTCCTCTGCTGGAGTCATCCTCCAGGAAAGTTTTACAGTCCTTTTGCCTTGGCTTAGCTACTACATGCCTTGTGGTCTGGGAGAGTCCCGAGGCCTTTAACCCTGTAAGGCAGAGCTGGTCATCCTGAAGGGTCTGGATAACTGGGTGAATGAGATGGTCTCTCACAGGACCCTTCTTCTGTCATCATACTCCTCAAAGAGATCCTCCAAGTGATGGGAATGGGACTAAGGGCTGCCTGAGGGGATGGAGGCAAAGAGACTTAAAGTAGGTATTTCCATGGAAGGGCAAGAAATGGCACTAAAGACTAAAAAAGACTGGGGTCCTCCTGTGAGTGTTTGCAGTTAACTCCCAGTGTCACACATCCTCTGTGGGGCTTGGGGGAAACCTAGAGAAACCAGAACACTGCAGCTGCTGGAGAACTCATGTAACTCTTGGCTCCATACCTTTAAAAATGCATTCAAAAGTATATTAAAATATTAACTTCTATTCCAGTAATGTTTAATTCCAGTGAAGGATTACTGGGTTTGTTCTTCAGCCAGCATGCTCTTTGGCTACCTATGTTCCCCAGCATTAACTCTCCTTCAGCTCCTGAGGCTTCTCTTGAAGCAACGCCCGGGGCTTTCAAAAAGACGACAGCCCCAAAGCAAAATCAAAGACCAAACCAATGCAGAGCATCAAAGTTTATGGGGGGGTGGAGGTAAAAATCTGTTTAGCTTTTTCAGTTTTGCTGGCATAAAATTGAGATGCAGATTCCTGCCAGCAGCATCCTCAGTTTTCAGCAGCCTGGTTAGGGTCTGAACAGGGCTCTCCTGCCAAACCAGAGACGTTTATATCCTCCTCCCTTCCCGGCAAGTAGAGGGAGCAGAGGCAAGAGAAAATGAAAAATCAAATCTCTTCGCTGGGACCTGGGCAAATAGCTGGCTCTCTGGTGTCTCCAAGTTCTTCCTGTTTAATAAAACACAGCAGAGCAGGCTTTCTCAGGAGGCTCTCTTTGCTTCATTCAGTACTTCAAGGCCAACATTTTAACAACTCATTTTTTCTCACATTTGTACTTTTACAATATGTTTCTGCTGGCATGACTCAGGTGGGACTGGCCACGGTAAGAAACAGGAAGAGGAGAATTAACAACAGGGATCCTCAGCCTGTCACATAACAACTGAATAAGAAAATGACACAGAAATGGGTCCCTGTAGGCAGCAGGTGCTTCCTCGGGTGCTGCTACCCTCTTTGCAGAGGAAGCACACAAACAGCGAGCAGCAGATCTGCACTGGGTAAGTGGGAAACAATCCTGAAAATCCCTCCTGAGCTAAAACCTAGCCAAAAGACCACCTTGGCTTTCAAACTGCAAATTTGCTGGACACCCGATGTTTCCATGTGTGTGGAGGTGCTCCAGCCTTACTTATAGCTGTAAATGTGATGCTAAGATCATGCCTGTGCTCTTCCCTCAGGGACACCTGTGTGGTGTGTGCTCTGGAAGTGACAACAGGATCCAAATCACCTGCATGAGGATCCAACCCACCTGCCACGTCCTGGCAGCTGTGCTCTCCTTCATTCCAGGTGAGGGGATGTGAATTTGGCAGAGCCTGTGAGCATTCCCAGGGGACAACCTCGCTCTGCAGTGCCTCTCCTGTGCTCCCTTGTTTGGGGCCAAGGCTCTGATCTGGTTTATGAGGGGCTCTGAGGCTCCTCAGACCATTTCCAGGGACTGTGCTTCCTGCTCTGGGTGGCCTTGCTTGAGCAGGGGATGGATCTGGTGGCCTCCAAAGGGCCTTGCCAGCCTCCAGCACTCAGTGATGGGGCAGGTTTCTCTCTTGTGTCACAGGGTTCACAGCTGAGGGGTTCGCTAAGTCTGAGTGTGGCAAAGTGAAAGGTCATTAATACAGGATAAAATGGTGGGAGAGTGGGCTTTCTGCCCATCTGGGGTCTGCAGCAGGCACAAGGTGAGGAGGACAGACTGGTGAGGAGGTTGTTGCTTTTGGGGCTGCCCGGCCCAGGCTCCTCTCAAATCCCAGCAACCACTGAGTTATTGATGGGTTTCTTCCACCTGCTTCTGGAAAAATGATTTAGGCAGGGAAATTGAGGTAAAGGAATCAGCTGAAATCTTAATTTCCACCAGGGTGGACTTGTACGTGTTATTTTCTTTTTCCTTCTGCTTATTTCTTCCTCTCTCCTCTGTCTCCTTGTGCCCCCGTTTCAAAGTCTGGATCAGCCAGAGCCATGACTGTATTTTTGTTACAGTGCTGTGAGGGTGCTCAGACAGGCTGAGCTGTGCCCTGAACGGCTGAAAACTGGAACAAATCATCTCAAAGGAAATGATAAGACTGCGTGCTGTGCCCTTTCTTTCACAATGAGATGGAGAGGAAGAGTCGGCACCAAAACAGATGCTGTGTTTTCTGTCTCCGCAGCTCTTCCACCTCTCTCTCTCTCTCTCCATTTGTGTGCTCTTGTCTTTTTTCCTCTGGAGGAACAAAAGAAAACAATGTCTGCTCTGGCCCATTTAAAATAACCTTTTCCCTTTTCGCCAAAGCGGACAGTTGTTGTCACCTCCAGTACCTTGTAACAGCCAGCCAAAGAGTGGCTTTCCCCGATATTAGGTCATTCTGTAAGCAGGAAAAATAATGAAGCCTGTTTCTCTGCAGATCTATGTTCCTATCACGTAAAGGGCAGTATTGACTTTTAAGTGAATTATACTCAGGTCTTCTGTTATCTCTGCATAAAGCATAAATGATACTGTGCTCTTCCATGTTCTTCGGCCGTCCTGCCTCCCCGGCCTCTCCAGTGCTTTTCTGCTGCCTTCAGCTGGCTGGCTTTCTTCCTCCTCTCCATCGTCCCTGCACTTCACAGCTTCCCTGCTTTTCTGCTGCTCCAGGCTTCTCTTGAGATTGTCTTGTCGTTTCCTCCTCCTCTTTAACCCATCCCTTCCCCTACCACGAGCGTTCTTCTCTTTGGGGGCCTCGCGAGCTGTGCTTGTGGCCGTAGGGACCGGGAGGGTTGTGCTCAAGCAGCAGCAGCAGCAGCCCCCTGTGCAAGGGGAGCCCCAGGGGAAGGGGGAGACTCCTCGCCCCACGGCCCCATAGCAGGTGCTCTCTCAAGGTCTCGCGCCTCCCCGTTAGCCACAGCAGACTCCAGAACGGGCTGTGCTCCAGAGATGGGACCCAGCAACTCCTCCACCGCTGGCCATTTACCAGCCGACCATACTCCACTGGGGAACCTCTTTTTTTCTGCTGGCTGCCATTGCACTACAGGGACTACAGCTCGTTCATGCGGCTCCTGACAGCTCAGGACTCACCTCGGCTCTTTGCACAGGGGTGGGACAGCAGACGTGACACCGGTACCAGGGACCACACAGCACAGCTGCTGAAGGCAGATGAATTGGGCTACAGCTGCTCCCCGCTGGCTTTCACTCAGTCCTTTCTGCACTCCCTCGTTGCCTGCTAGCTCCTATCATGCATTTTTAATTGATTAATTCTTCATCCTTATACTAAGGTCGCACGTTCGTGGCAGTCATTGTCAGCACCCCGTGTTCATCTAATGTAAGCTATATTTAGACATTTCCAGGATGACATGTCCCCTAACGCCCAACCTCCTTTTCTGGCTCATGGAAGTCAGACTTCAGACCTTTAGAGCAGGGTTTGGGCAGTCCTTGCCTGGACCACTCAGAAGTTTATCATTCACAGTGGCAAGGCTGCAGCCACACAGCTACACGAGAAGTTTCCTTTGCTTTTCCCTGTGTTCTTGGCATTGCATTAACCTGCACTCATCCCTTTACCACCCTCCTTGGGTGTGCTGTCTGCACACAGCCAGGAGGGCTCCAGTGCTCGGCCTTTACCATGGTGGCACTGGGCGGCTGTTGTGTGTAGCACCCTGTGCATGCCCACCAAAGCACTCTGCTGCCCCAAGCACTCCACTTCCCCTTTCTTCTCCCTGACAACATTCTGCACACACATTATTTTAAAGATAAGTGATATTCTAAAAACTGGGTGATGGGAGAAAAAGCACCGGAGGTCAACTTGGGAAGGTTCAAACCACACTCTCTGCTTCCTGGCCACTGGCTTTTATAAATCCTGTAAGAATTTAATTATCTCGGAAGAGCTCTACTTTCTCTATTCAATTCTCTTGAGATTGGCTGATGGGGGAAAGAAGATGGGGGAGAGGCATGCATTGCCCGGTCGATCTCATAAGCCTCATTTCTATAGGAAATTGGGATAAAAGGTAATTGGAAATGGAATAAGAAATGTTAAAAATAACAGCCTAACTTGATCCTTTGCGTCTCAGATGCTTTTAATATTTTCTCTCTCTTTCGATACATTAAGGCAAACACGCAAGCCTGAGATGTTGTCTGAAGCCTTGGACTTCATTTAACAAGTTGGAGTTGAGTTAGCACCTTCGAGCCTCTGGGGCTGTGTCTTGCATCAGAAAGAACACAGCTCGTTATCATTCCTGAACTCTGCTCCTCTCAGCCGCTGCGCTAGGTGATGCGAGGTGACACGTGGAGGAAAACAGGATCTCTTCCAGAATATGTGAAAAGGTGGGTTTGACACAGGATTAAATCAATAAGGGGAAGATGGATGAGCAGTTATTACCTGTATTTATAGGGGAGTCTGTAGTAAGAGAAGGGAAAGTTTACCTTAGGACATTTGTTCGCCTCCCTTTTGTTGTACTGCTGCTTGTCAGTCAGCTCTTTGGCTGCCACAGTTGGAAGTGTGTGCTTCAAGGTGAACCACTGCTTATTTTGGTTTGCCTTAAAATGTTGCCTGGCAAACTGAGGTAGTTCAGGAGATGATTGATGAGCAATGAGACAAGCACGCAGCAGGGACAGGCTGGACAGCTGAGATGACTTCAGCCCCGGTCCAGAGCTGATCCTTTCATTTAAAGGGCAGGGTTGGGTTGAAGGGAAAAAGGATGCTAAGGAAGAAAAGATGAATGAGGGAGAGAGAGAGACGGTTTCAACGGCTGCGAGACAGGCTGTGATATGGTAGTCACCATAGTGATAACGAGGGAGGGAGGCAGGAGACAGGACAAAAACAAAGTCAGTCGATAGTAAAAACATTCCAGGTTCAAAAGGCAGTCTGCTGGCTTGGTGCATGTCTGCAGATCGTGAGGACTGGGCAGGCACCAGCTGGCTTCCCCACACCTTCCTGCTGCTATTGGATTTTGGTTGCTGAAGGCAAATTTAAAATTATTCTTTGGGCCATCATGTAACACAGACAACAATATTTTAGCTAAAGGATATTCCCTTTAGGAACAACTGGCTCTTGCCTACGCCTGACTAACTTTGCGGTAAGATTGATATGAGAAAAAATCCCTATCCTAACAGTTATTGGAAAAGCATATTTTTTACATTTTTGTAAACGACTCCTGTCTTTTACCAATGCCTTCAAATTGTTAGTGCATTTATTCCCTGTGAAGGGAGGATTGTCCTACAGCTGGGCTCATAAGGACACAGAGATACACACCAGCCACAGAGCCTGCGGGTTGGTGTTAGCTCCCTTGGTCCCCCAGCACATGCAGACGGTAAGGGAGTGTCAGGAATGTCATCAGGAGGGTCAAACACCAGTATGCTGAAGTGCTGCTTACCTAAGACAGTCCTAAGGAGGCCCTGGAAAGAGGAGACATCCTTAGATACACACTATCACTTCAGAAGAGGCCGCAGCCATTTAGGACATGATCGTCTTTTCAACTGTTTGCCGTGTCTCTCCCCAAGATTACCACTGTCACCTCAGTGTGGTTCATCCACTCCAGAGCAAAGCCAGACCAGGTGGGTTTTGCACTAAAGAAGATGAGCTATATCATGAGCATCTCTGCCAGCTCTGCTAGGGGAAAGCAGTGGTCTTCAGACCAGAAGAAGTAGTGGAAGGGCAAAGTGCTAGTTCCTTAGCTGCCACAGAGACCATCTGACCAAAGCTTTAGATCTGCCCCTTCCCATAGACATCTCAGTGCATGCCACCAGGCAGTGCCTTTCTCTGTCTGAAATTCAAACTGGAGCCAGATGGCTGAAACTTGGCTCTGTTGCATTAGTCTTTCTGTTGTTGTTTCTGCTGTTTCTGTGTCAGCTGCTGGAGATGAGACAAGAGACAGGGGTTAGAGCACTTGACAAAGAGATCCATTCACCTACTGCCCATCAGCGGAGCATCCAGGCGTAGCTGCAGCTATGCTGGAAGAGAGGACCCCGCAAACCTTTTGAAGCTTTTCTCTGCTGCATGAAATAATTAGAGATTCTGGAGGGAAATGAAAAGGATGGAGGAGAAAGTGTGAGGAAAAATTCTGTTCCAGAGATTTAGGCACCTACCTCTGAGTCCCAGCATCCCAGTCTACACTAATAATTTATGTAGTCAGTCTTGTTTTGTCTTTGTCCCCTCCAAACTTTAATCCAGACTGCAGCATTTCTGTGAACTGTGGGTAAAGAGACACATAAGCTTAGAAAAAAAAACAGTCTTACACAAGTTATTACTGGAATACACCAAGGACATAAACATTTGACACTGATGTATTAAGTGTGTTATTGCTATCACTGAAGGCTTCATGATATGCCATATTTTCTCTGACCCTTTTACTTGCAAGTTGTGTCTTTTCCTAAAGCTTCATGGTAAAATCATTTTTTCTTTTTTTTTTCTTTCTTTTTTTTTTTTTTTTTTTTTTTTTTTTCTCTTGGTTGAGAAATTAGATGAGTTTTAGATTTCCAAACCTGTTATCCTTGATCTTCTTCAGTGGGGAAAGGCCTCCAACCATGCCACAAGAAAAGTAGTGATTTTTGCCTGATTCTTTAAGGGTGCAAAATGGACCAAGCCCCTGGATTTACCAAATCATTCCACTGTATATCTTCACTTCCAATAAATATCCTGACCAGACTACTCCTCCCATTTCATTTGGGTTGTAAAAATAAGTCTAGGAGCCTCCAGGAGTGATGGTGTCAAGCCTAACAAACCCTCTTCCTTTGATTTCTTAAGCAGATGGGAGCACAGGTTAACATTCTTAATTCTTGGATCCAGCCTTTCAGGTTTTCTCCTATAACTCTTTAAAGTTGTGTACGTTCTGTGAACTGTATTGTGCAATGGGCTACAGAAATTGTGAACTTGAATTTCAGACAACCATATTAACCCTTACTTCTGAAAGTATTTTTGTGGCATTTCAGTACTTGTGTTAGGTGGTACCAAGCCATAGCTCAGATTATACCATGGCACTCTTCAACAACCTCCTTATTTATTTATTTATTTATTTATTTATTTAGCGAAGATTTCACAATGTTACCCTGGTATGGGGCATAGGCCTAGAGGTGAGAGGGAGAAAAAGGAAAGGGAAATTAGCAACAGGGAGGAGAAACAGGAGTTAACCTCGTTGAAAGGCAGATGTCCTTGGTGAAAAGTCATTGAGAACCGTACTTGGATGGAAAATCCAGAGATGGAGGTTACAAGCAGGTCATCAGAGAAACTGGGATGAGGATGAGATCCCTGAGCAATGGAGAGTGAAGTGAAAACAGTGGGAAAAGTGAATACTGCAAGAAGCCAGGGTTGTAAAGAAAAGAATCGGGCAGAGATGCAGAAAGGTCTGTATTAGGTGAATGCCCATTAAGCTGTGTGACACCTCCCCATCAGAGCACAGACAGGCAGGCTGGCTGCTGAGCCTCCCTGTTCCGTTGTCAATGAATAGCTGTGAAGCTGTGAGGGCAGGATGGGTGCTCTCAGACTACAGGGCATTGTAGTACTGTGAGCAGATATTCCATTAGGTCAAGCAGCAGAAGTGCGTGGAGAGGATCTGAAGAGTCACCTCTTCCTGAGCATGCGGATATGAATGATTCCAGATGCCACATCAAAAAAAAAAAAAAAGTATTAAAACTCCTTCCCCACTCCCCAAAATAGAAATCTATACGTGCAAGCGACAACGAGGTTGAAGTTCAGGTGATTCAGAAATTCAGATGACTCAGAAAAATGACAGAATAAAGACTGCATTATGAGGCAGCTCTTAACGGGATACTATTTTTTTCCAAAGGACTCAAATTTCTTTGGTACAAGAGAGAGGCAGAGGATCCCTTAGTCATTTTGTTTTATCTGCAGCATTTAATGAGTTGTCCCCTACACATTTTATTGCATGTTATACAGACTTGTTTTAAAGACCATCTATTTCCTCCTAGGTAAGGATGCCATATATTTTTTTTTTTCCCCTGGCACATCCTTCTTTTCTGCCCTTTGAATCACATCCAGGTGATTTTTAGTAAGTAACCAGGATTTTAAAGGGCAGTTTGAGGGATGAGTGCTCTTGGAGTTGGAGGGTGTGAGAGTTAACATCTAAGACTTTTACTCCCCTCACTTTATATTGGCGATACAGTAGCTCAAGCCCTAAAATTTTCTCCAGTGCTCATCACTGCTGGTTTTGAGGGCTTCACAAACATTAAGTTCATCCTCATATCAGCCTGGCAAGGGTTTCATTTTGCTCTGTTATTTTGGGGAAATTATGAGGGGCTTTAGAAATAAATTTCATTATCCGTCTTTTAACTTTGATTATAGAGTACATCTGTCCCTGCAAAGACCTTGCCAAGAGCAATGGGTAACACCCTCTGATTATAGATCAGAAAACTACAAGGTTGACTCCTGGATTGTTTTTTTTTTTTTTTTTTTTTCTTTTCAGGCCATGTGCTTTTCTTTCGCATTCAAGGTATTTCAAGCAGAACATGGTAAACTCTCTTTGCAATCTTGGACTCCTTACCAGCTGGGTATGCAAATACCCCATTCTCACCTACTTTCTGCTGGACATGGTTTGCGTAGCTCCAAGTACTCCTTAAGATTAAGATGAAACAGAGATCTGGAAGTCAAGAATCTCTCCTGCTGCAGATTTCATACCTACCCCCATCAGAGCGATCTGTTACTCAGAGAGGTAGATGGTCCTGTGGGAAGTATACGATCACATCATTAAAGGCTTCAGAATTAATAATCAGAAGCAGGACAGAAGGGATATCAGTCAAACAGAAGTTGCACACTCAGGCTTAATGTTAGTTCTTCCTCAATTCCCCAGTCACACTATTCTTACTAGATTTTGATATAAATGCTGCAACTAGAAATGGAATGACAAATACACCCAGCAGAACTGATATCAATTCACTGCAAAATATATTAGTTGTGGCCAATAAAGTCAGATTATTTTACTGGATTTACTCTGGATTTACCCTAGTGTAACCCAGAACAGAATGTGGTCCTGTGGGTGTAGGAGAAGTTACACTGTAAAGAAATAAATCTCAACTATTTCAAGTTTTATTAGCTTCTTTTTCTGTCGGGCCTTTCAATTTTTATATTTTTCATATACTGGGGGTTGGCTGGGATGAAAGCTATACTTTTCCATTAGTCTTCATTGTGTTATAGTGTTTTTGTAAAGAGTAGATGATGTTTTAAAAAAGCCAAGAATAGACAATATATGTAATTGTTTATAGTGAATTTACTCTTGGCTCAGTTTCGCCTTTAGCGTGACAAAGAATTTTATCCAAGAGCATAGTCAATCTATATAGTATTGCCAAATCAAATAATTTAAAAATCATGAGTCACATCTTAAAATAATAATAACAAAAAATGACATGGGCTTCTAATTATAAAGTTTAGAAGAGAATATATGTTCAACTCATTTTGCTTTGCCTTCTGTTTTCTGAGCCTTTGCAGTGTGCTCAGGTTATATTTTTAAGCCTCCCCTCTGCAGCCATGAGAGCAAGAAAATTACTGCCTTTTTGTTTAAGTGAAAGAAAAATGAGAGCTTCTTGTGTAATCACATCACTCCAGAAGCTGGTACTTTGAGGAAAAAGCCTCAAATATCACAAAACTTATGATAAAAATTGGGAGAATTGGCAATTTGTAGCTCCTCAAAGGTGTCTGAGTTTTAGATATGCCCTTCTTACAAATAAAGCATTTCCTGAAGTATATAAAAGACGCAAGGCTATACTTCTGCAGCAATACCATTACCTGGAGGAAATAACTTTTCCAGGAAAAGACACAGATTGCCACCTTCTCTCCACAACCACTGAAATGGAAGGCCCAGCTAGAGAAAAAAAAAAATTTGATCTCAGCTGAGTCGGCAATATGTTACCACAGTATGGGTTGGGAGCAGCTCCAGGAAAGTCAGTGAAAATGCCACAGCTTTCCACTTTGCATTTCAGATCAGAAAGTTTCCCAATACCTTGTGGAAATTGGAGGTGGCAGGGATACTATTTTTTGGTTTTATGACTGTGTATTATCTCTAAAAGAACAGGAGAGGCTAGGGCCTCCCATCTGCTCTGGCTTACTGTGGTTTAATTCTGCAGAGGCTGCACGAAGACCAACAGCATAGGTAAGACCAAGGCCAAAGAAGAATTTAGCTTTCTGCAACTTTCAGTTCCGCACAAAAATGACATTAGATTTCGTACATTTTTATCTCACATCTGTCTGCATGAGGGGAACGCTTCATTGCTAAGCAGCGAACTAAAGTTAGGCAGCTAGTTCGGGATGTGGAAGCACCCTTCTCAATGCCCCAGGGGAAGTACCCTAGAGGAGACCCTCCAGAAATTGAACCCAGGAGAACAGTGCAGGCTCAGATGTGGGCTCTTATCTCTTCAGGATATAATCTAGGAAGAATGAAAAGAGTGAAGAACCTGCGGACCGTTGTGGGGTGACCTAGTGAATGGTGAAATCCCTCTGTCCCATTCCCCTGTGGATCCTAAGTAAGCTGACCAGACGACTTCTCCATACATCTCCCGCTGCTCCAAGGGTTCTTTACAGAGTTGTAGCCTCAGCATCTCTCCTGAGTTTCAAAGGAGCTCTTTTTTATTGTCACAATGGAAGATACTCTAAGTATTACCTCTCTTTGTCCACTTTTCTGCAGGGTGGATGCCTGTGATTGATATGCCATCCCATAGCTATGGGAGATGACCAACAGCAGTAGGTCACTCATTTCTTGTAGAAAAAGATGGGTTTCTTTACAATTTCATGACAATTTTGTCAGGCACATTTCTTTCCAGTCATCTGAAGGTTCCAAAGGAATTTTTCTAATACTCCTAGTTCATACCTTTGCAGGATCTGAGCTAATATTTCACCATTTCCACAACAGGCCTTTCAATATCGGGCACAACAGGAGGGGCTTCTCCAGTGGATGTGGCTCTTGTGTGCATTGGTGCCAACAGAACTCGTTTGTTATCCCTCCAGTTTCCAAACAGGAGCCTTACAGCTGAGCAGTTGAGGCTGCTTGGTAACCTCATGTCCAACAGCTCTGTCTGGCTTCTTCCTGCTGTTCAGGCCTTGGTGTGGGTCTGCACCAGAGGCCTGAATAATCCTGCATGACAAAGCAACTCGGGCTAGAGGAGGGGTTCCCTGTACCCCCAACACCACAACTCACTGCAGCTACCTGGCACTGGCCTTCCTCAGGCCATGAGGCCTCCTCCTTCCCTGTCCCCGTGCTGGTACGAGCTGTCCCACAGCTCTCCAGCTCTCAGGCTCACCAGAAGCCTTATCCTGATAGCCAGCTCACATTTTTCCTCCTCAGCTTTTCTCCCCAGTCTATCTGCTCTTGAGTCATTGCTTCTTTATGCTAATCACTGGAGCTGGATTCTTTCTAGCTCTGTTTAATTACTGTCTAGCTTATATATAACCCCCTCATACTGTAATCATAGAGATAGTAAAGATTATGCAAATGTTGATTAGGGTGTAATGTGGCTTGCAGAGCATTCATCATAGCTGGTGAGAGGTAAGAAGAAGAGAAGCTTGATTCTTAGGGGCTAGGCTGAATTTGTCTTGAGAGCATTTAGATTTATTTTATTTTTTTTTTACTTGAAAACTGAACATATTTGATACAGAGAATCAGAGAATACTGAAGCTCAACATGGAAAGTATTTGAATATCATCTTGCATCCCTGAAGATACATTTTAAGTAGATGGTCTTGGATCTCACCTGTGCAGTGTGTTGTGGTTGCTAAGACAGTCAGTTGTTTGCATCACAAGACAGCCGCTCTCATCTTGATACCACTCGGAGGCTTGTTGTCATTTTCTTCAAATTCAGAGAGCAGGGACCTCCCAAAACCCTGTGATAAAAAATACAGGTGAAAGTGAAATCATCCTAAATATCAGTCAGCAAGTAGGCTGATCTTTTTTCCTCTCCTAATTCTGAAGACTCGGGGGGATAAGCAGAATCCCAGCTAAGAGGTATCTTCTGACAAACAGCTGGGTAGTTTTTTTCCCCTAGAGTTACCACATTTCCCACATATTATCACGAGGCAGAATGAATGGTAGCTGCGAAACTGTAAATCTGAATTGCTATTTATTACACAAGGTGAGAAAACTGCCAGGAATAGTGGGGGAAAAAAATGTTGAGTAACAAGAGGCAGACCATCAGGAAACTACAAGCTGTATGCTAAAAGCCAGAGAGGCAGAAGGACGTGATATTGGTGCGAATATAGGCCTTGGATCCAACACTTGTGGATCCACTAGATTGCTGGATATATATTAGACAAAAGCTGGCAGGGAATTGTTAATGGCATGAAGCAAGTCCCAAAACTGTATCTGTAAGACCTGGATCCGGGACAGAGCATCCTTCAATAGGACGATAGTATCTGTCATACACATAGGGTAAGATTCATGCAATTTAACGTAGAGAATCAGGGCTCCACAATGAAAAGCTATAGCTCCCAAGGGAACAATGTTGACAAGAGAAGTTTTATTTTCCTCTAGGCTTCTTGAACAACTATTCTTTACATGATTATTGCTACTGACTGGATTCTGTCCAGGAATCTGCTGGCAATACTGCGCAGAAATACTGAGGTTCCATCTTGCAGTAACCTCTTTGGTACCAAGGCCAGCTGGTCTGCCTGCATCAGGCTGTTGATGAAGTTGGGTTTTCAGGGTTTGGAAACACACCTTTTGCAGGCAGTTTGCTTATGACAGAAGAGCACCCAGAAGCTTAAATGATCTTCAAGAACACTCTGAAACTCCCTTTAAAACTTGCTAGAGCTGTGTCAAAAATAGGGGAAAAAACATGCCTCTTAGCTGGCATGACTGGAACCGAATCTGTTGTGATGCCCTCATGGTGCTGGAGATGATGCACACAGCTAAGCTGGAAGCCAAGGAAGCAATGAGACTCAATGACCACCTCCCCGTCACCTCAAATGCTCAAATTGTTCCTAAGTCTGATTCTCACAGGTTGGTTTGTGTTCCCATGACTACATGTAGAAAAGGTGAAAGTAAAAATAGTTGTGTCACCCTGAAGAAACAGCTATTATTGATTACTGTGAAGAGCCAGTAACAATTTCTACAATAATGAGCAATTCTCAGCATTGAAAGAATACTTATCTGGTCTTTCTGCCAATATTGGGAGAGGCTTTTTTTTATTTTCTGTGATTACATTCTGAGATTCTTGATGGAGAAAAGATCCCAAAGATATTTTCAGAGATGGGTGTATCACCCAGAAAATGAGGGCATCTGGATAAGTCAATACAGCTGTTATATTAATCTCAGCCTTTTACTTTGCCAGGTATTTCATAGAACCCTTGCACTTGTTAGCAACAACCTAGTATCATAACAGACATCTTATGTCTGGGGAAAACTTTTGGACCAAATCCTTGATCCCGATAAAGCTGCTTCATGCTGCTGAAAAGGCACAAAGCAGCCTTTAAGATGCTTTTACTGGTTATATTCGGATTCAGCTGTCACAGGGAAATCTCCATATGGTGGAGAGCAGGTCTTGCTGAGTCTGCAGTCTTCCCATCACAGCTCTGGATCTGGAGATGTACTGAGGCACAGACATGTAGCTGAAGAATCGCTCTGCTCTAGTAATTCCCTGCTGTAGTAACTTGCCTTGTCTCTTCCAGGTACAACTTAGAGTTTATGTGACCCACTCTACAGGCATCTTTGGACATCTGCTCAAAATTTTCATTTGACTCCAAAGCCAATTTGGCACTGGCACAATGGCAGTCTTGGTGGTGGGGGAGCCTGGGGATCTCACTGTGTTTTTTGTTTGTTTGTTTGTTTGTTTGTTTTAATGGTCTCAGCAAGAGAATAAGAAAGCCCTAAGATTTCTGAGACACACTTCTGATATGTCATACTAATATTTCTTGTCAATCGTGAAGGATGTCTGTAAGCTGATGTGAGAATTACAATTAGCTTGAGAGAAGCATTGAAAAATGTCACATAGCATATTCTTAAACTTCTGGAAGACTTAGGGAATGTTTCACCTCAAATGCTTGTCATTTAAAAAGCCATCACTTTCTAGGAATGCAAAGTACAAATCACTGCTTGGGTAGGGGAAATCTTTTTTTCCTTAAGCAAGAGGGCTATCATGTTAGACTTTCCTGCT